TAAGGCCAGCCCACGTGTTCAAGGGCCAGACGGATCCTACTGTTGCAACCAAACGTCATGCAGTCGCATAACCAAAGTATTACATGCTGATTTAATGAATCTGCTTTGAATGGAATTTCTTGATATGTGTATGTATTTATCGGAAATTTTTGGATTAAGGTTAGTCAAGATTATATGCAATTTCGAGAATTTATTGTTTAGTTGAATTGGATTTGGTAATAAGTTACATTTTTCTTCTAAGTTCATGCATGAAACTTTTACGGTTATATGTTTTTGTTTCTTTATTTCGAAGGCCACTTATACATGCAAATTGGATCAGCTGGCTTTGGGAGTGGTTTGTGTCATTTGCACCTTTTTAGCACGGATGAAACTTTTGGAAAGTAAAGGAAGTGAAAGTGAGGAGTTTGCTCCTGATCTGTCCGACAGAGAACTGCACTCACGAACATCGGAACAACGCATCATTCCTGGTGCGTTACTGCTCTTGCACCTACACACATTTATGCCGACAATTTTCATCATATGGTACCTTGTACGTGAGCTCTGTGAAATAATATAGAATAATTACATGACAATTGAGTGTTATCTTTAGTTTAGTAATATCATTCAAATCACTGGTCCTGCGTTTTCCTATCGTACTACATTCAGTGATTTTCCTCTCTGACGTGCACTTTGTCCTTTTTTTATTCTTAAAGCCTTGCTTTCGTGCCCGATTTCCTTTTTGCCTAGATGTATTTTTTACTGCGCGCTAATTGAATGCCTCAGTGCTGTATTTTATTACAGGCTATGATAACATGAACAACAAAGACCTTCCTGAAAACTGGGTTAAGCTACTTCATGACTCTGGTTTAATTATGTATTTCAATCCCACAATCGGAGTCGCTACTCTTTCTCGTCCCTTTATGGTCACTTCGGAGAGCGTCAAAAGTACCACTATTCCTATTTTCGCTATCCCTTGCTTGAATTACCTATGCAGTAAATTGGCTCCAAAAGAATCCTTAAGTTCAAAGGTACTTACCTTTTTCCCCTTTGCACACCACTTAATGTTCACATGTATGAGGTTTTGTGTTTAGGCTTCAGTTGTCGGTAAATCATTGGATGATAACAAGGATCAACAACGGGATTTTCTCGAGAGTAAGGAAAATGGTACTCATGAATGTTCTTGCAAAGGCGGTGGCAATGATTGTTGTGGTGCACTTGTGAACGGGGAAGACGCATTTGAAGTTGCTGAAAAAGAAAAAGAGGAAGGTGAGTTGACAACAGACGAAGAAGAGGAGGAAAATGAAGGCGAGGACGGTGAACCAGAAGATTTACCACCGCCGACCAAACGTCTCTGTTGGAGAAGCGGTAATAGGCCTTTCATTTCATCAGATAAACCCAATACTGCAGTTGATAGTTTTAATTCTCTTAGTCAGCACATTCGTCATAGCTTTATTTTTTGACATCTACGAATGACTTGTGAGATTTTCTCCTTCATGAATATGGCAATATCATTGGTATTTATGTGTACGGGCGGTCCTTACTTTCCCTTATTAACAGTTGAGAATCAAGCACCTTTGGTCATGGAGTCCAGTTTGGCATCCCAGAAGGAAAATTTGATGCAACAAGGATCGCTGCCTGAGGTTGGTCTGCCTCGTCTTTAATTGCTCTTGTTTTAATACATTTACTAATGGCAGGGATATGCTGTGCTCTTTGTCACTTTACGGCAACTAGTTTCGTCAATATGAACCAAATTATTTTTGATGTAAATATCGTAACGTCTTCCAGTTGTTATTGTTCTTTAAAACCATCGAAGTGCCTGCGGTTTGGGAGCTTCTTCTCGCTAAATCTAGGTAAAGTGATTTCCTAATTGTTGATCCGTGTACATAAACCCCTACCTTTATTCACTGTGTGCATTATTCATCGACCTCTCTAAACTCCTTTTCAGCAGCAAAATGATGGCGATGTGCATAATTCAAAGCTATTAACCCCTGAAGAAGTGCGGGAATATTGCAACAAGTTATTCAAATTCAAGAAAACCGGTGCTGTAACTTTCAGGTTTGTCTTTTTTTCCCGAGCGTTAAATGCTGTTATTTGTGTATGCATGGCTCCGAAGTTGGAATTTGGCTATTACAACTTGCTTAAGGTCCCATCTCACCTAACATGTTCGCCACCAGAGTTACATGTAACACCTCCAGTCGTCTTACCGGAGTCCAGCGTCTCTGAAATATTGACATGTTCTTTATTGGTTTATGCGGTTTCGTAAATGGACCGAGTCTCATCGTAAACGAATCGTTAGGATCCAACTCGAGCGTTTATTAATCCGATTTTGAAGGCATTTGCAGTAAAGTCGGTCGGCTCAGTTGCACAGGTGTCGAGAAAAGCTCATATTGAAGTATTTATCGTTTCTATGTGATTGGGTAAACATACGTAAAGTTGCTGCTTCATTGATCGTAGCTAGAGAGAATACAACTTTTTTGTTCTTTAAATATGATGTTTTCAAGATCCTCCTAAATATTGGAAGCGAAATATCCGTTCTTTCACACATCAACCATTCATTTGCTCATCATTCTTCTCAAAAATTTTGTAAGGGAATTCGATGTCGTGAATGCGTTATAATGCAGTGGTGCACAGTCATTGTCTTCCCGTGATATTTGTAAAGCCAATAAAGGGTAACCATAAAGGTCATTAACTCATGATTCGGTGCCTCATTGGCGTTGACCGCAACGGGTGCCACATTAATTGACAAAATGTCTAGGCAGCGGCGTTCAGGAGCCTGGTGACGAATGTGTTGGCATATTAGGCTCCATGAATATGCATGCATTTCTTAGGTTAGATCGGTTCCATTTATCTTTTACCTCATCGAGCACATGAATTTGCATATGCTGTATGAGCTTTCAGTGGTCGATGCATCCTTGTTGCCAGCTTCATACTGAGTCATGTTGGGAAAAATTGGTTGAGTCTAAAGCATGAGGCTTTTAGCCAAAAAATGCATATTTAAATTATGTGCCCTGTAACTAGGTTCAGTGGTCGATTTTATGGGACTCGGATAGTGATCATTGCTAATCCAGAATATGAGCCAATTGACCTCGATTTCCATGGTTCCAGATTATGTTAATCAGAAACCATTATTTTCTTTTTTGTCGCCGTACCGACTATCAGTCATCCTACTCATTTAGGAATCGTTGGGAGCGCCTTCGTTTCTATCGCACAAAGAGGGGCAATCAACGGATGAACGATGGTGATGGATCTGTAAGTTTATCACTTCGAATCCCTATCTAGTTGGACCTCACTCAATCATGCAACCTCTTTAGTGCGAAGACACAGAGGGCAACTCGATGGAACAACGAGCTAAAGGTGAGCTGGTAGGCTTAGGAATTGTTTGATCATTCAATGTCCACTGTAGGATTGTGATTTTTTGCCTTTCTTCGTAGAACGCATCTTCCGACTGTTCGACAAGTCTCCAATCTGCATTCTGCACGAGTATTGCCAAAGCGTTCTGCATGTGCAGTCAAACTTCAAACCTTTGATGATTGAAAATGACAAACAACTCTTCCATTATGCCATTGTTATCAACAATGTAACGTATCCAACTGGATCAGGAAACAGTAAAAAATCGGCTCGATCTGAAGCTGGTTGGCTTGCGTTTTAATACTGCATTTGACGCACTAGTTTCGCTCTCATACTTTCCCATTTCAAAAAAGCTACTGCTATGTGAAGCTTCTGGTTCCACTACCTCCTCCAAGTGCAAACTCTGAATCACAGATGTCCTTAGCTCTCTAGGTGATGCACTGACTGGATGAATGGACAGCGGTGCTCTTGTCTATCTCTTGGTCCAACCCTATGAATGCCAATTCCTACGAATTCACTGCCTTCGTGCATTATAGCTCTTATAATTCACAAAATAGCCTAGTACTTAATCGTAAAAGATTCATTTCTGCTTTATGCGAACAATAAAGGGTTTATTCCTATTATACAAGAGCCATCGACGCCTCCTAGAGAAGTTACTCCCTGAGATCTAGCTTGAAATGCGTTTTTGTTAACCATAAATTGGCTTGTGTTTATGGACTTGGGGGTATTTACTACCTTCCTCTGCAAAGTGTTAGCTCTGAGTTATCACACATTTGCTGCTTAAGCAACAATCAGTGTGGAATACTTGCATATTTGGCGCTACCTTCTCATAAAAGTATTCAAATGTTTCACTTGTGTTTTCTCTAGCTCGCTTGGCTTTGTTCAAAATATTGCCGGAGTATAAAGCGTTTTTTGAAGAGAAGAAACAGTCGGGATCGATGACTATGGAGTTGACTGGATCTATGTTGTCTGAGGCTGATATCGACCTCTTCCGAACAGTACCAGTTACGGATAGACAGGTTTATGACATAGTGGCCTCCAGGCAACTGAACTGCGCCGCTCCATACGCCATATTTGGGGAGTATGTCAAACGTCACTGCATTCCAGAGAGTGATGTGCATTCAAATATGAATATTCATAGCAAGAATAATCACATTTACGAAATCAGTATTGGACAAAATCGTGTACAAGTGAGTTGTTGTTTGTACCCTTCATCATTCGCGCGAATTTCATTAACTAAAAATAGAGTAGAAACGAAGATTTGCAATTCCGTTGCGGAGGCTATTCCCCCCACAAAAGGCTGTGGTCCGTTTAGCGGTTGTCCCAGGTGCAGATGTCATCAGTCTTATTGTTAGTTGAGAGTTATCTTTGTGACAGCAAAAGACTATTTACCTTGAATGCTTGAAGTTGATAGGTCCTTCCCTTTATTAAAGTTACTCTACAACCGGCAATCCAAGGGGATTAAAATACGTGGCCTAGGTCCCAAGTCCTAATAATTACTGGGATGACGAAGCATGCACGCCGCTTTCCGAAGTCTGATCCGACAAAAAAGAAGTAATTTGTTTTCCCACGAAACTTGTTTTTTATGGCTGCTCAAAATAGTTTGGTGTTATTTGCTGTAGGTTCACTGCAAAAATAAACGCGCTGGTCGCAACTATGCAGCCCAAGAGATGCTAGCTAAACTACATCCACAGGTCAAAACTTGGGCTGACCTTCTTGAACTCTATGGTCCGAACACTAAGCCTGACAGGAAGTCGGACAACGAAGCTATTCTCGACGCACAAACAAGACATTCTAATTCGGTCAAAACAGGTGTCATTCGGATTTTGAAGGCGAAAATGCTGGAATTAAGCAATCAGTGGGTACGTTGCTAATTCTAATAAACTGGTCATTCTCAATGTAGGAGGCGGCTGAGGATGGAAAAAGGAAGGGGAAGTTCAATGTGTCACCTAATCATCTCCCCGTGGTATATTTTCACCCGGATTCTGCCACAAACGTATATTCCTACCCGCCTCCTAATCCCACTTGTCCTGAACTGACCTGAGTTGCCACTTGATGTGCAGATATGTATGGCTTCTCTTCCCATAATAAAATGGCTTCGATTTCTGTTGCTTCCTTTTTTTTTGGTTTTAAACTGGGATAATGACGCTCCATTGGGACAGCAAAAATTGTTACAACACGGACTAGCTTTCAAGTAAACTAATTTTTGAGGGTTTTGTAACGCCAACAACTGTTCTCTATGGCGGTTCTTCTGTCATCAATTTTGCTGCGGCTGAATGGGATGTAAAGTGCTGCCGTTTACTTTGTCGCATCCAGATGCACTGGATTGTTGAAGGCAAAGAGAAAAAAGAACATGGTTTTCATTTGTAAGTTTCATTATAAGAAAGTATGAAAGACAGGAAGGGTCTTAGTTTCCTTATCCCATCAGCTTACAGCCTAGATGGCGCTTAAGGGGTATTTGGTATTGTAATGCATACGAGTGTTTAAGTTGACCTTTATAAGAGAGAGGCGGGAACTA